CACCACTATACTCACCACAACTTACCACTACACTCACCACTACTCACCGCTACACTCACCACCACTACTCACCACTATACTCACCACTACTCACCACTACACTCACCACCACACTCACCACTACACTCACCACCACTACTCACCACCACACTCACCACCACACTCACCACCACACTCACCACCACACTCACCACTACACTCACTACACTCACCACTACACTCACTACTGCACTCACCACCACTACACTCACCATTACGCTCACCACCACACTCACCACTACTCACCACTACATTCACCACTACTCACCACTACACTCACCACTACTCACCACAACTCATCACTACACTCACCACCACACTCACCACTACTCACCACCACACTCACCACCACACTCACCACCACTACTCACCACCACACTCACCACTACACTCACCACCACATTCACTACTACACTCACCACTACTCACCACTACACTCACCACTACTCACCACTACACTCACCACCACTACTCACCACCACACTCATCACTACACTCACCACTACTCACCACTACACTCACCACTACACTTACCACTACTCACCACCACACTCACCACTACACTCACCACTATACTCACCACTACTCACCACTACACTCACCACTACTCACCACTACACTCACCACTACTCACCACTACACTCACCACCACACTCACAACCACACTCACCACTACACTCACCACCACATTCACTACTACACTCACCACTACTCACCACTACACTCACCACTACTCACCACTACACTCACCTCCACTACTCACCACCACACTCATCACTACACTCACCACTACTCACCACTACACTCACCACTACACTTACCACTACTCACCACCACACTCACCACTACACTCACCACTATACTCACCACTACTCACCACTACACTCACCACTACTCACCACTACACTCACCACTACTCACCACTACACTCACCACCACACTCACCACCACACGCACCACTACACTCACCACCATTACTCACCACCACACTCACCACTACACTCACCACCACATTCACTACTACACTCACCACCACTACTCACCACGATACTCACCACTACTCACCACTACACTCACCACTCCACTCACCACTACTCACCACCACACTCACCACCACACCACTACACTCACCACCACACTCACCACAACCACCACACTCACCACTACACTCACCACAACACTCACCCCTACCCACCACTACACTCACTACTACACTCACCACCACACTCACCACTACACTCACCACCACACTCACCACTACTCACCACTGCACTCACCACTACACTCACCACTACACTCACCACCACACTCACCACCACACTCACCACCACACTCACCACTACTCACCACCACACTCACCACAACACTCACCACTACTCACCACCACACTCACATTCAACACCACACTCACCACTACACTCACCACTACACTCACCACCACACTCACCACCACACTCACCACTACACTCACCACTACACGCACCACCACACTCACCACTACACTCACCACTACTCACCACTACACTCACCACCACACTCACCACTACTCTCACCACCACACTCACCACCACACTCACCACTACTCACCACTACACTCACCACTACTCACCACTACACTCACCACTACACTCACCACTATACTCACCACTACTCACCACTACACTCACCACTACTCACCACTACACTCACCACTACCCCTACCACCACACTCACCACTACACTCACCACCACTACTCACCACTATACTCACCACAACTTACCATTACACTCACCACTACTCACCGCTACACTCACCACCACTACTCACCACTATACTCACCACTACTCACCACTACACTCACCACCACACTCACCACTACACTCACCACCACTACTCACCACCACACTCACCACCACACTCACCACCACACTCACCACACTCACCACCACACTCACCACTACACTCACTACACTCACCACTACACTCACTACTGCACTCACCACCACTACACTCACCATTACGCTCACCACCACACTCACCACTACTCACCACTACATTCACCACTACTCACCACTACACTCACCACAACTCACCACAACTCATCACTACACTCACCACCACACTCACCACTACTCACCACCACACTCACCACCACACTCACCACCACTACTCACCACCACACTCACCACTACACTCACCACCACATTCACTACTACACTCACCACTACTCACCACTACACTCACCACTACTCACCACTACACTCACCACCACTACTCACCACCACACTCATCACTACACTCACCACTACTCACCACTACACTCACCACTACACTTACCACTACTCACCACCACACTCACCACTACACTCACCACTATACTCACCACTACTCACCACTACACTCACCACTACTCACCACTACACTCACCACTACTCACCACTACACTCACCACCACACTCACCACCACACTCACCACTACACTCACCACCACATTCACTACTACACTCACCACTACTCACCACTACACTCACCACTACTCACCACTACACTCACCTCCACTACTCACCACCACACTCACCACCACACTCACCACTACACTCACCACCACACTCACCACCACCACCACACTCACCACTACACTCACCACAACACTCACCCCTACCCACCACTACACTCACTACTACACTCACTACTACACTCACCACCACACTCACCACTACACTCACCACCACACTCACCACTACTCACCACTGCACTCACCACTACACTCACCACTACACTCACCACCACACTCACCACTACACTCACCACCACACTCACCACCACACTCACCTCTACTCACCACCACACTCACCACAACACTCACCACTACTCACCACCACACTCACATTCAACACCACACTCACCACTACACTCACCACTATGCTCACCACCACATTTACCACTATACTCACCACCACACTCACCACTACACTCACCACCACACTCACCACTACACTCACCACTCCTAGCGCTATACTCACCATTATACTCACCAATATATACACACAAAGACAAAGGTCCCCCGTGTAGCCTCTACAGACTGCTGGGGCAAGTGCTGTTAGTAGCGAGTAGCAGCACCTATGAAGGCTACCGGCACTGTGGCACACGAGGGGGTGGGTGGCTACCAGCACCACGCCCGGCCGCCTTTGTCTCCCCAGTGGCGATGTTTACTACACCACCGCTACACCAGCTACTCATTTGAGGCTGAGTCGACCTAGGGGAGGCCCAGAACCCCATCACACACACACACATTCATCCAGCGGTGGATTAATAAATGGGCTGTAATTTAATTTTATCATTCAGGCATTCGCTAGCAGACTCACGAACACTCCCCTCTCTCTCTCTCACACGCTCTCTCTCTGTCTGTCACACTCTCTCACTCTCTCACACTCTCTCTGTCTCTCACACTCTGTCTCTGTCTCAAACACTCTCTCACACTCTCTCTGTCTGTCTCTCTCACACTCTCTCTGTCCCACTCTCTCACACTCTGTCTGTCTCTCACACTCTCTCTGTCCCACTCTGTCCCACTCTCTCACACTCTCTCACACTCTCGCTGTCTGTCACATACACTCCCCAAACACTCCCCACACTCTCTCACACTCTGTCTGTCACATACACTCTCTGTCTCTCTCTGTCTCTCCCACTCTCTCTCTGTCTCTCACACTCTGTCACATTCACTCTGTCACATACACTCCCCACACACTCTCACACTCCCTCTCTCCCACTCTCTCACACTCTCTCACACTCTCTAACTCTCTCTGTCACACTCTCTCACACTCTCTCTGTCTGTCACATTCACTCTGTCTGTCACGTACACTCTCCACACACTCACTCTCTCTCACTGTCTCTCACCCTCTCTCACACACTCTCTCTCACACTCTCTCTCTGTCTCTCACACTCTCTCTCTGTCACATTCACTCTGTCTGTCACATACACTCTCCACACACTCACTCTCTCTCTCTCACTGTCTCTCACCCTCTCTCACACACTCTCTCTCACACACTCTCTCTCTGTCTCTCACACTCTCTCTCTGTCTGTCACATTCACTCTGTCTGTCACATACACTCTCCACACACTCACTCTCTCTCACTGTCTCTCACCCTCTCTCACACACTCTCTCTGTCTCTCACACTCTCTCTCTGTCTGTCACATTCACTCTGTCACATACACTCCCCACACACTCCCCACACTCTCTCACACTCTGTCTGTCACATACACTCTCTGTCTCTCTCTGTCTCTCACACTCCCCACTCTCTCTCACACTCTCTCTGTGTCTCTCAAACTCTCTCTCTCGCTCTCTCTCTCTCACACTCTCTCTCTCACACTCTGTCACATTCACTCCACCCACACACTCTCACAAACAGCCACTCTCTCTCTCTGTCTCTCTCACACAATCTCTCTCTGTCTCTCCCACACTCTCTCTCTCTCATACACTCTCACACTCTCTCTGTCTCTCCCACTCTCTCTCTCTCTCACATACACTCCCATACTCTCTCTCTGTCTCTCTCCCACTCTCTGTCTCTCCCACATTCTCTCTCTGTCTCTCCCACTCTCTCTCTCACATACACTCCCATACTCTCTCTCTGTCTCTCTCCCACTCTCTGTCTCTCCCACATTCTCTCTCTGTCTCTCCCACTCTCTCTCTCACATACACTCCCATACTCTCTCTCTGTCTCTCTCCCACTCTCTGTCTCTCCCACATTCTCTCTCTGTCTCTCCCACTCTCTCTCTCACATACACTCCCATACTCTCTCTCTCTGTCTCTCTGTCTCTCTCCCACTCTCTGTCTCTCTCCCACTCTCTCTCCCACTCTCTCTCTCTCTGTCTCTCACATTCACTCCACCCACACACTCTCACAAACATCCACTCTCTCTCTCTGTCTCTCCCACTCTCTCTCTCTCTCACATACACTCCCATACCCTCACACACACTCTCTCACACTCTCTCTGACTCTCCCACACTCTATCTGTCTCTGACTCTCTCTCCCACACTCTCTCTCTCTCCCACTCTCTCTCTCTCTGACTCTCTCACTCTCTCTGACTCACACACTCACTCTGTCACGCTCACAAGACAACATGTCTGAGTCGGAGCTTCTAAAGGAGAGACTGCTGACCCTAACGGTGAGGAAACTCACCACTCCACTCACCACTGCACTCACCACTCCACTCACCACTCTACTCACCACTCCACTCACCATTCCAACCATCACCACACTCACCACTCCACTCACCACTCCACTCACCACTCCACTCACCATTCCAACCATCACCACACTCACCACTCCACTCACCACTCCACTCACCATTCCAACCATCACCACACTCACCACTCCACTCACCACTCCACTCACCACTCCACTCACCATTCCAACCACCACTCCACTCACCACTCCACTCACCACTCCACTCACCACTCCAACCATCACCACACTCACCACTCCGCTCACCACTCTGCTCACCACTCTGCTCACCACTCCACTCACCACTCCAACCATCACTCCACTCACCACTCCACTCACCACTCCACTCACCACTCCACTCACCATTCCAACCACCACTCCACTCACCACTCCACTCACCACTCCACTCACCACTCCAACCATCACCACACTCACCACTCCGCTCACCACTCTGCTCACCACTCTGCTCACCACTCCACTCACCACTCCAACCATCACTCCACTCACCACTCCACTCACCACTCCACTCACCACTCCACTCCTCATTCCAACCATCACCACACTCACCACTCCGCTCACCACTCCGCTCACCACTCTGCTCACCACTCCACTCACCACTCCACTCACCACTCCGCTCGCCACTCCACTCACCACTCCAACCATCACTCCACTCACCACTCCACTCACCACTCCACTCACCACTCCACTCACCATTCCAACCATCACCACACTCACCACTCCACTCACCACTCCACTCACCATTCCAACCACCACTCCACTCACCACTCCACTCACCACTCCACTCACCACTCCAACCATCACCACACTCACCACTCCGCTCACCACTCCACTCACCACTCCACTCACCATTCCAACCATCACCACACTCACCACTCCGCTCACCACTCCGCTCACCACTCTGCTCACCACTCCACTCACCACTCCAACCATCACTCCACTCACCACTCCACTCACCACTCCAACCATCACTCCACTCACCACTCCGCTCACCACTCCACTCACCACTCCACTCACCATTCCAACCATCACTCCACTCACTACTCCACTCACCACTCCACTCACCACTCCACTCACCATTCCAACCATCACTCCACTCACTACTCCACTCACCATGTCATACACTACAAAGACAAAGGTCCCCCGTGTAGCCTCAACAGACTGTAGGGGCAAGTGCTGTTAGTAGCGAGTAGCAGCAGCACCTATATACAGACAAAGGTCCCCCGTGTAGCCTCTACAGACTGCTGGGGCAAGTGCTGTTAGTAGCGAGTAGCAGCAGCTATGAAGGTAGACACAGACAAAGGTCCCCCGTGTAGCCTCAACAGACTGTAGGGGCAAGTGCTGTTAGTAGCGAGTAGCAGCAGCAGCTATGAAGGTAGACACAGACAAAGGTCCCCCGTGTAGCCTCTACAGACTGCTGGGGCAAGTGCTGTTAGTAGCGAGTAGCAGCAGCTATGAAGGCCACCGGCACTGTGGCACACGAGGGGGTGGGTGTCTACCAGCACCACGCCCGGCCGCCTTTGTCTCCCCAGTGGCGATGTTCACTACACCACCACCGCTACACCAGCTACTCATCTGAGGCCGAGTGGACCTAGGGGAGGCCCAGGCCCGCCACACTAGAGTTGCCCACACGCACTGGCACCCTCTCAGGCAGACGCGCGGACTTCACATTCCACACTCGCCAGGGACTTGGCAGTGATACTCACACCCTGCACACAGAGGCGCGTGCTGTGTGTGTGGGTGTAGTGTGTAGGGGTGTAGTGAGGGGTGTAGTGTGTGTGTGGGTGTAGTGTGTGGGGGTGTAGTGTGTGGGGGGGGGGGGTGTAGTGTGTGGGGGTGTAGTGCGTGGGGGTGTAGTGGGGGATGTAGTGTGTGGGGGTGTAGTGGGGGGGGGGGGGGTGTAGTGTGTGTGGGGGTGTAGTGCGTGGGGGTGTAGTGTGTGTGTGTGTAGTGTGTGGGGGTGTAGTGGGGGGTGTAGTGTGTGTGGGGGTGTAGTGTGTGTGGGGGTGTAGTGCGTGGGGGTGTAGTGTGTGTGTGTGTAGTGTGTGGGGGTGTAGTGGGGGGGGGGGGGGGGGGTGTAGTGCGTGGGGGTGTAGTGTGTGTGGGGGTGTAGTGTGTGTGAGGGTGTAGTGGGGGTGTAGTGTGTGTGATGGTGTAGTGTCTGTGTAGCGTGTGTGGGGGGTAGTGTGTGTGGGGGTGTAGTGTGTGTGGGTGTAGTGTGTGTGGGTGTAGTGTGTGTGTGTGTAGTGGGGGGTGTAGTGTTTGTGGGGGTGTAGTTTGGGGTGTAGTGTGTGTGGGGGTGTAGTGTGGGGTGTAGTGTGTGGGGGTGTAGTGTGGGGGTGTAGTGTGTGTGTGGGGGTGTAGTGTGTGGGGGTGTAGTGTGGGGTGTAGTGTGTGGGGGTGTAGTGTGGGGGTGTAGTGTGTGTGGGGGGGGGGGGGGGGGGGGGGTGTAGTGTGTGGGGGTGTAGTGGGGGGTGTAGTGCGTGGGGGTGTAGTGTGTGTGAGGGTGTAGTGTGTGTGGGGTGTAGTGTGTGTGAGGGTGTAGTGTGTGTGGGGGTGTAGTGGGTGGTGTAGTGTGTGTGGGGGTGTAGTGTGTGTGGGGGTGTAGTGCGTGGGGGTGTAGTGTGTGTGTGTGTAGTGTGTGGGGGTGTAGTGGGGGGGGGGGGGGTGTAGTGCGTGGGGGTGTAGTGTGTGTGGGGGTGTAGTGTGTGTGAGGGTGTAGTGGGGGTGTAGTGTGTGTGATGGTGTAGTGTCTGTGTAGCGTGTGTGGGGGGTAGTGTGTGTGGGGGTGTAGTGTGTGTGGGTGTAGTGTGTGTGGGTGTAGTGTGTGTGTGTGTAGTGGGGGGTGTAGTGTTTGTGGGGGTGTAGTTTGGGGTGTAGTGTGTGTGGGGGTGTAGTGTGGGGTGTAGTGTGTGGGGGTGTAGTGTGGGGGTGTAGTGTGTGTGTGGGGGTGTAGTGTGTGGGGGTGTAGTGTGGGGTGTAGTGTGTGGGGGTGTAGTGTGGGGGTGTAGTGTGTGGGGGGGGGGGGGGGGGGGGGGGGGTGTAGTGTGTGGGGGTGTAGTGGGGGGTGTAGTGCGTGGGGGTGTAGTGTGTGTGAGGGTGTAGTGTGTGTGGGGTGTAGTGTGTGTGAGGGTGTAGTGTGTGTGAGGGTGTAGTGGGGGGTGTAGTGTGTGTGATGGTGTAGTGTCTGTGTAGCGTGTGTGGGGGGTAGTGTGTGTGGGGGTGTAGTGTGTGTGGGTGTAGTGTGTGTGGGTGTAGTGTGTGTGTGTAGTGGGGGGTGTAGTGTTTGTGGGGGTGTAGTGTGGGGTGTAGTGTGTGTGGGGGTGTAGTGTGGGGGTGTAGTGTGTGGGGGTGTAGTGTGGGGGTGTAGTGTGTGTGGGGGGGTGTAGTGTGTGGGGTGTAGTGGGGGGTGTAGTGCGTGGGGGTGTAGTGTGTGTGAGGGTGTAGTGTGTGTGAGGGTGTAGTGGGGGGTGTAGTGTGTGTGAGGGTGTAGTGTGTGTGTAGCGTGTGTGGGGGTGTAGTGTGTGTGGGGGTGTAGTGTGTGTGGGTGTAGTGTGTGTGGGGGTGTAGTGTGTGTGGGTGTAGTGTGTGTGTAGTGGGGGGTGTAGTGTGTATGGGGGTGTTGTGTGGGGTGTAGTGTGTGTGGGGGTGTAGTGTGGGGTGGGGTGTAGTGTGGGGGTGTAGTGTGTGTGTAGTGTGTGTGGGTGTAGTGTGTGTGTGTAGTGTGTGGGGGTGTAGTGTGTGTGTGTGTGTGTAGTGTGTGTGAGGGTGTAGTGTATGTGAGGGTGTAGTGTGCGTGAGGGTGTAGTGGGGGGTGTAGTGTGTGGGGGTGTAGTGTGTGGGGGTGTAGTGTGTGTGGGTGTAGTGTGTGTGGGGGTGTAGTGTGTGTGGGGGTGTAGTGTGTGTGGGTGTAGTGTGTGTGGGGGTGTAGTGTGGGGTGTAGTGTGTGTGGGGGTGTAGTGTGTGTGGGTGTAGTGTGTGTGGGGGTGTAGTGTGTGTGAGGGTGTAGTGTGTGTGGGTGTAGTGTGTGTGGGGGTGTAGTGTGTGTGGGGGTGTAGTGTGTGTGGGTGTAGTGTGTGAGAGGGTGTAGTGGGGGTGTAGTGTGTGTGAGGGTGTAGTGTGTGTGTAGCGTGTGTGGGGGTGTAGTGTGTGTGGGGGTGTAGTGTGTGTGGGTGTAGTGTGTGTGGGGGAGTAGTGTGTGTGGGTGTAGTGTGTGTAGTGGGGGGTGTAGTGTGTGTGGGGGTGTTGTGTGGGGTGTAGTGTGTGTGGGGGTGTAGTGTGGGGTGTAGTGTAGTGTGGGGTGTAGTGTGGGTGTAGTGTGTGTGGGTGTAGTGTGTGTGTAGTGTGTGGGGGTGTAGTGTGTGTGTAGTGTGTGTGAGGGTGTAGTGTATGTGAGGGTGTAGTGTGGGGTGTAGTGTGTGTGGGGGTGTAGTGTGTGTGTGGGTGTAGTGTGTGTGTGGGTGTAGTGTGTGTGTGGGTGTAGTATGTGGGGGTGTAATGTGGGGTGTAGTGTCGCATAGGGGAGACAAAGGCGGTGGTTGCTGCCCACCCCCCTACATCCCTCCTCGTGTGGCACAGCTACAGCAGTAGCAGCAGCTGCTACAGTAGCTGCTGTAGCAGCAGCAGCTGTAGCAGCAGCAGCTACAGTAGCTGCTGCTGCTACTGTAGCTGTAGTAGCTGCTGCTGCTGCTGCTACTCACAGCACTTGCCCCAACAGTGACGTTCAGGGCTGCACGGGGGACCTTTGTCTTTGTGAGTCTATTTGCGTGTGGGGCGGCTCGGCCTGCCGAGGAGGAAAGAGGTCAACTCGCACAGCCACCATCAGTGTCACGTGGTGACTAAACCCCAGTCACGTGGTGACTAAACCCCAGTCACGTGGTGACTAAACCCCAGTCACGTGGTGACTAAACCCCAGTCACGTGGTGACTAAACCCCAGTCACGTGGTGACTAAACCCCAGTCACGTGGTGACTAAACCCCAGTCACGTGGTGACTAAACCCCAGTCACGTGGTGACTAAACCCCAGTCACGTGGTGACTAAACCAGAACACCAGTCACCATCAGTGTCACGTGGTGACTAAACCCCAGTCACGTGGTGACTAAACCCCAGTCACGTGGTGACTAAACCAGAACACCAGTCACCATCAGTGTCACGTGGTGACTAAACCCCAGTCACGTGGTGACTAAACCAGAACACCAGTCACCATCAGTGTCACGTGGTGACTAAACCCCAGTCACGTGGCGACTTAACCAGAACACCAGTCACCATCAGTGTCACGTGGTGACTAAACCCCAGTCACGTGGTGACTAAACCCCAGTCACGTGGTGACTAAACCAGAACCCCAGTCACCATCAGTGTCACGTGGTGACTAAACCCCAGTCACGTGGTGACTAAACCCCAGTCACGTGGTGACTAAACCAGAACACCAGTCACCATCAGTGTCACGTGGTGACTAAACCCCAGTCACGTGGTGACTAAACCCCAGTCACGTGGTGACTTAACCAGATCCCAGTCACCATCAGTGTCACGTGGTGACTAAACCCCAGTCACGTGGTGAGTTCACCAGAACCCCAGTCACCATCAGTGTCACGTGGTGACTAAACCCCAGTCACGTGGTGACTAAACCAGAACCCCAGTCACCATCAGTGTCACGTGGTGACTAAACCCCAGTCACGTGGTGATTAAACCCCAGTCACGTGGTGACTAAACCCCAGCCACGTGGTGACTTAACCAGAACCCCAGTCACCATCAGTGTCACGTGGTGACTAAACCCCAGTCACGTGGTGACTAAACCCCAGCCACGTGGTGACTTAACCAGAACACCAGTCACCATCAGTGTCACGTGGTGACTAAACCCCAGTCACGTGGTGACTAAACCCCAGTCACGTGGTGACTTAACCAGAACCCCAGTCACCATCAGTGTCACGAGGTGACTTAACCAGAACCCCAGTCACCATCAGTGTCACGTGGTGACTAAACCCCAGTCACGTGGTGACTAAACCCCAGTCACGTGGTGACTTAACCAGATCCCAGTCACCATCAGTGTCACGTGGTGACTTAACCAGAACCCTAGTTACCATCAGTGTCACGTGGTGACTAAACCCCAGTCACGTGGTGACTTAACCCCAGTCACGTGGTGACTAAACCAGTACCCCAGTCACCATCAGTGTCACGTGGTGACTAAACCCCAGTCACGTGGTGACTAAACCCCAGTCACGTGGTGACTTAACCAGATCCCAGTCACCATCAGTGTCACGTGGTGACTAAACCCCAGTCACGTGGTGACTTCACCAGAACCCCAGTCACCATCAGTGTCACGTGGTGACTAAACCCCAGTCACTTGGTGACTTAACCAGAACCCTAGTCACCATCAGTGTCACGTGGTGACTAAACCCCAGTCACGTGGTGACTTAACCCCAGTCACGTGGTGACTAAACCACAACCCCAGTCACCATCAGTGTCACGTGGTGACTAAACCCCAGTCACGTGGTGACTTAACCAGAACCCCAGTCACCATCACTGTCACGTGGTGACTAAACCCCAGTCACGTGGTGACTAAACCAGATCCCAGTCACCATCAGTGTCACGTGGTGACTAAACCCCAGTCACGTGGTGACTAAACCAGAACCCCAGTCACCATCAGTGTCACGTGGTGACTAAACCAGAACCCCAGTCACCAACACTGTCACGTGGTGACTAAACCCCAGTCACGTGGTGACTAAACCAGAACCCCAGTCACCATCAGTGTCACGTGGTGACTAAACCCCAGTCACGTGGTGACTTAACCAGAACCCCAGTCACCATCAGTGTCCGTGATGTGTAAGACGTGAGCAGTGGTGGTGAGTATAGTTGTGAGTGTAGTGGTGAGTGTGGTGGTGAGTAGTGGCGAGTGTGGTGGTGAGTATAGTGGTGAGTATAGTTGTGAGTAGTGGTGAGTGTAGTGGTGAGTATAGTGGTGAGTGTGGTGGTGAGTGTAGTGGTGAGTGTGGTGGTGAGTGTAGCGGTGAGTGTGGTGGTGAGTGTAGTTGTGAGTGTGGTGGTGAGTGCAGTGGTGAATGTAGTGTTGAGTGTGGTGAGTGTAGTGGTGAGTAGTGGTGAGTATAGTGGTGAGTGTAGTGGTGAGTAGCGGTGAGTGTATTGGTGAGTAGTGGTGAGTGTAATGGTGAGTGTCGTGGTGAGTATAGTGGTGAGTATAGTGGTGAATGTAGTGGTGAGTAGTGGTGAGTGTGGTGGTGAGTGTAGTGGTGAGTAGTGGTGAGTGTAGTGGTAAGTGTAGTGGTGAGTGTAGTGGTGAGTAGTGGTGATTGTAGCGGTGAGTGTAGTGGTGAGTCTGGTGAGTAGTGGTGAGTGTAGTGGTGAGTAGTGGTGAGTATAGTGGTGAGTGTAGTGGTGAGTAGCGGTGAGTGTATTGGTGAGTAGTGGTGAGTGTAATGGTGAGTGTCGTGGTGAGTATAGTGGTGAGTATAGTGGTGAATGTAGTGGTGAGTAGTGGTGAGTAGTGGTGAGTGTGGTGGTGAGTGTAATGGTGAGTAGTGGTGAGTGTAGTGGTAAGTGTAGTGGTGAGTGTAGTGGTGAGTAGTGGTGATTGTAGCGGTGAGTGTAGTGGTGAGTCTGGTGAGTAGTGGTGAGTGTAGTGGTAAGCGTAGTGGTGAGTGTAGTGGTGAGAAGTGGTGATTGTAGCGGTGAGTGTAGTGGTGAGAGTAGTGGTGAGTAGTAGTGAGTGTAGTGGTGAGTGTGGTGGTGAGTAGTGGTGAGTGTAGTGGTGAGTGTGGTGGTGAGTAGTGGTGAGTGTAGTGGTGAGTGTACTGGTGAGTGTCGTGGTGAGTGTGGTGGTGAGTGTAGTGGTGAATGTAGTGGTGAGTATATTGGTGAGTGTGGTGGTGAGTGTAGTGGTGAGTATAGTGGTGAGTGTAGTGGTGAGTAGTGGTGAGTGTAGTGGTGAGTGTAGTGGTGAGTAGTGGTGAGTGTAGTGGTGAGTGTAGTGGTGAGTATAGTAGTGAGTAGTGGTGAGTGTAGTGGTGAGTGTAGTGGTGAGTGTGGTGGTGAGTATAGTAGTGAGTGTAGTGGTAAGTGTAGTGGTGAGTGTGGTGGTGAGTAGTGGTGAGTGTAGTGGTGAGTAGTGGTCAGTAGTGGTGAGTGTAGTGGTGAGTGTAGTGGTGAATAGTGGTCAGTGTAGTGGTGAGTGTAGTGGTAAGTAGTGGTGAGTGTAGTGGTGAGTGTAGTGGTGAGTGTGGTGGTTGTCTTGTGGCCGCTCCTCACCCCTATGACCCCCCATGACCCCACGTGACCCTCATGACCTCCCGTGACCTCCCATGACCCCCGTGTGACCCCATAGGAGCGCCACCACGTGCAGCAGGAGATGAACTTGAAGAGAAGCGACATTGACCAGGAGAGACAGAAATTCAACCACTTGAAGGCAATCACCAACCACAACCATCATAGCCACCACCACCACAACCATCATAGCCACCACCACCACAACCATCATAGCAACCACCAACCACCACCACAACCATCATAGCCACCACCAACCACCACCACAACCATCATAGCCACCACAACCACAACCATCATAGCCACCACCACCACAACCATGATAGCCACCACCAACCACCACCACAACCATCATAGCCACCACCACCACCACAACCATCATAGCCACCACCATCAACCATCATAGCCACCACCATCACAACCATCATAGCCACCACAACCACAACCATCATAGCCACCACCACCACAACCATCATAGCAACCACCAACCACCACCACAACCATCATAGCCACCACCAACCACCATAGCCACCACCAACCACCACCACAACCATCATAGCCACCACCAACCACCACCACAACCATCATAGCCACCACCAGCCACAACCATCATAGCCACCACCAACCACCACCACAACCATCATAGCCACCACCAACCACCACCACAACCATCATAGCCACCACCAACCACCACCACAACCATCATAGCCACCACCAACCACCACCACAACCATCATAACCACCACCACCAACCACCACCCAACCATCATAGCCACCACCAACCACCACCACCAACCATCATAGCCACCACCAACCACCACCACCAACCATCATAGCCACCACCAACCACCACCACCATCATAGCCACCACCAACCACCACCAACCATCATAGCCACTACCAACCACCACCACAACCATCATAGCCACCACCAACCATCACCACAACTACCACCAAAAACCAACATCAACACAACCACCATCACCACCACACCCACCCACCACAACAACCAACATCAACACCACCACCAAACACCACCACCACAACCACCACTACAACCACCCACCACCATTACAACAACTACCACCACCAACATCAACACAATCACCAAAATTACCACCAATACCACCACCACAACCAACACCACAACCAACACCACCACAACCACCACCACAACCACCACCACAACCACCACCACAACCACCACCACAACCACCGCCACCACCACAATCACCACCACCACAACCACCAACAACCACATTCACCACCACCACCTCAACAACCACAACCACCAACAACCACATTCACCACCAGCACCACCCCAACAACCACAACCACCACCACAACCACCAACAACCACATTCACCACCACCACCCCATCAACCACAACCACCACCACAACCACCAACAACCACATTCACCACCACCACACCAACAACCACAACCACCACCACAACCACCAACAACCACATTCACCACCAGCACCACCCCATCAACCACAACCACCACCACAACCACCAACAACCACATTCACCACCACCCCATCAACCACCACCACCACCACAACCACCAACAACCACATTCACCATCCCAACAACCACAACCACCACCACAACCACCAACAACCACATTCACCACCACCACCCCAACAACCACAACCACCACCACAACCACCACCAACAACCACATTCACCACCACCGCCCCATCAACCACAACCACCACCACAACCACCACCAACAACCACCACCACATTCACCACCACAACCACCAACAACCACATTCACCACCACCACCCCAACAACCACAACCACCACCACCACCCCATCAACCACAACCACCACCACAACCACCAACAACCACAACCACCACCACCCCAACAACCACAACCACCACCACAACCACCAACAACCACATTCACCACCACCACCCCAACAACCACATTCACCACCACCACCCCAACAACCACAACCACCACCACCCCAACAACCACAACCACCACCACCACCACCCCAACAACCACCACCACCACCTCAACAACCACAACCACCACCACCACCACCACAACCACAACCACCACCACAACCACCACCACCACCACAACCACATTCACCACCACCACCACACAACCGCCCGTGACCGTTAAAACGACACTGACACGCCGCGACCTCTGTGTGACACAATGACCCCGTGACCCGGCCCCCTTGACCCCGTGACCTGGCCCCCTTGACCCCGTGCCCTGGCCCCCTTGACCCCGTGACCTGCCCCCCTTGACCCCGTGACCTGGCTCCCTTGACCCCGTGACCTGGCCCCCCTGATCCCGTGACCTGGCCCCCCTGACCCCGTGACCTGGCCCCCCTGACCCCGTGACCTCTGCACGACCCCCCCTCCCCGTGACCCCGGCAGAACAAGGCGCGCAGAGAGCAGTGGCTCATGGGAAATCCGGCGCAGCCGACTCCGGCGCAGGACGTGGAGGTCACGGCGCTGGGACAGCGGATCGCACGGTGGGACACGCGGAGACACGCGGAGACACGCGGAGACACGTGGGGACACGTGGGGACAGGGGGACACGTGGGGACATGGGGACACAGGGAGACACGTGGGGACACGCGGGGACACGTGGGGACACGCGGAGACACGTGGGGACAGGGGGACACGTGGGGACACGCGGGGACACGTGGGGACACGTGGGGACACGTGGGGACACGCGGAGACACGCGGGGACACGTGGGGACAGGGAGACACGCGGAGACACGTGGGGACACGCGGAGACACGCGGAGACACGCGGAGACACGTGGGGACACGTGGGGACAGGGAAACACGCGGAGACACGTGGGGACACGTGGGGACACGTGGGGACACGTGGGGACACGCGGAGACACAGGGGGACACGTGGGGACACGTGGAGACACGTGGGGACATGGGGACACAGGGAGACACGTGGGGACACGCGGGGACACGTGGGGACACGCGGAGACACGTGGGGACAGGGGGACACGCGGGGACACGTGGGGACACGTGGGGACACGCGGAGACACGCGGGGACACGCGGAGACACGTGGGGACACGTGGGGACAGGGGGACACGTGGGGACACGCGGGGACACGCGGAGACACGCGGAGACACGCGGAGACACGTGGGGACACGTGGGGACAGGGAAACACGCGGAGACACGTGGGGACACGTGGGGACACGTGGGGACACGCGGAGACACGCGGAGACACGTGGGGACACGTGGGGACAGGGAGACACGCGGAGACACGTGGGGACACGTGGGGACACGTGGGGACACGTGGGGACACGCGGAGACACAGGGGGACACGTGGGGACACGTGGGGACACGTGGGGACATGGGGACACAGGGAGACACGTGGGGACACGCGGGGACACGTGGGGACACGCGGAGACACGTGGGGACAGGGGGACACGCGGGGACACGTGGGGACACGTGGGGACACGCGGAGACACGTGGGGACACGTGGGGACAGGGGGACACGTGGGGACACGCGGGGACACGCGGAGACACGCGGGGACACGCGGAGACACGTGGGGACACGTGGGGACAGGGAGACACGCGGAGACACGTGGGGACACGTGGGGACACGTGGGGACACGCGGAGACACAGGGGGACACGTGGGGACACGTGGGGACACGCGGGGACACGTGGGGACTCGCGGAGACACGTGGGGACAGGGGGACACGCGGGAACACGTGGGGACACGCGGGGACACGCGGAGACACAGGGGGACACGGGGAGAAACGCGGAGACAGGGGGACACGTGGGGACACGTGGGGACACGTGGGGACAGGGGGACACAGGGAGACACGTGGGGACAGGGGGACACGTGGGGACACGTGGGGACACGTGGGGACACGTGGGAACAGGGGGACACAGGGAGACACAGGGGGACAGGGGGACACGCGGAGACACGCGGGGACACGTGGGGACACGTGGGGACACGTGGGGACAGGTGGACACAGGGAGACACAGGGGGACAGGGGGACACGCGGAGACACGCGGGGACACGTGGGGACACGCGGGGACACGTGGGGACAGGGAGACGCAGGGGGACACACGCGGACAGGGGGATGTGGAGACGCGGGAACAAAGACAAACAAAGACAAAGATCCCCCGTGTAGCCTCTACAGACTGCTGGGGCAAGTGCTGTTAGTAGCGAGTAGCAGCACCTATGAAGGCTACCGGCACCGTGGCACACGAGGGGGTGGGTGACCAGCATCACGCCCGGCCGCCTTTGTCTCCCCAGTGGCGATGTTTACTACACCACAGCTACACCAGGTACTCAATTGAGACTGAGTCGACCTAGAGGAGGCCCAGAACCGGTTCAGATAATCGTCACCGGTGTTGGCCGTGAGCGGGAATCGAACTCGGGTCGCCAGGTTCATAGCGCAGCGTAGCGCTAACCGCTACACCACCGCTCCCCCCACACACAACACACAGGCTCACACACAACAACAACAACAACCGCCATTCGCCACTAAGTGGCGGTGACGTCACCACGACGCTTGTGCCAGGCTATGTGCACCCTGAGGCCACGTGAAGTGTCGAACGCCCGCTGGCAGGAGGTCACGGGGCAGACCCAGGTGCCACGGGTCGACTGACTGAGATGACTGGCTGATGCACCACCTGTGCCCCCTACTGTGCCAACCTGCTGTGCTTTAGCCACCCGGCGCTCCGCTCGCTGTTGTGAGCGTCGCTCCTCCGCCCTCCGTTGTTGTTGGAGGGCGACTGCCTCCAACTGCCCAGTAGCATCCTTCACGAGCCTCCTCCACAGAGGCCGATCTTGACACCGCTGGTACCAGTCATCGGCAAGTCCACTCAGCTCCACGTCCTCCTGTACCACATCACTCCATCTCTTCTCTAGCCCGTGCCGCGCCCGCTTAGCCCCCTCAATCCGGCCAAACAAAAGCTGTTTCGGCATGCGGTGGCTGGGCATGCGGGCTACATGACCCAGCCATCGCAGCCTTGCCTGCCGGAGGAGCTCACCGATGGGACCCTGCCCAGATCTTTCAAGGATTTGTGAGCTCCTCACACAATCCAGTCTGGTTAAACCCAGGATGGATCGTAGGCAGGCCAGCCTAAATGTTTCTAACCGGCTAAGATGTTCCATTAGGGGGGTCCACGTTTCGCAAGCGTAGAGAAGGGAGGGAATGACCGTGGCCGAGAAGACCTGAAGCTTAGTGCGGAGCGACAGTCCAGGTAGCTTCCACACAGCGTTACGCAACCGATGAAAAGATATTGCCGCTCGACTGATTCGGAGTGAGACCTTTGCTGTTAAACTGGTGCCAGTCATAAGCACACTGCCCAGGTATGGGAAACTCTCCACTCTCTCCACAACTGCCCCATCACCGATTGGGAGTTGTGGGGGCGGAGTGTCCGATGGTACAAAATACCCAGGCAGGTGCTTGGTTTTGGTGGGGCTGATGGTAAGGCCCCACCTCTTAGTGGCACGCTCCAGTCTCAGCAGCAGCGTCTCCAACTCCTCCTCTGACTGAGCAGCTATTACCAAGTCATCAGCATACATAACGTGGTTGAGCAATAGGGAGCCATCCCTTGACCGCACCCGGGCATCGATTAGCCTCCCATTATATCTGTACCATATGGAGATTCCCCCGGTACAGCTATTGAAGGCTTCACGAACTACGTGGTCAAAATAGATGTTAAATAATGTGGGAGCCAGAGGACATCCCTGTCGCACCCCAAGGTGTACAGGGAATGGCTCTGACTCCCGGCCACGTAGTTTTACCCGGGCCCGCTCACCATCATGAAGGTCCTTAATGATCGTGAGCAGAGGGTCAGGTACTCCAAAAGCACGAAGAACGACCCAGAGCCCAGGCCTACTGATGGTATCATAGGCCTTGACCAGGTCAATAAAGCAGAGATGTAGGTCTTGTTGGAATTCCCTACACCTCTGCTGTAGCAGACGGACAGAAAATATGGCATCTGTGCAGGACCGCCCTTTCCTGAAACCGCATTGGGGCTCCGCAAGCCTCTCCTCAGCGTGCCTGGCAAGGCGATGCTGAATAATCCTTGCCAGGACCTTTCCCGGCACACTGAGGAGTGAGATGCCCCTGTAGTTGTTACAGTCTGTGCGGTCCCCCTTCTTAAAAAGGGGGACCACCAGGGCATCCTTCCAATCCTGCGGAACCCGTCCAGTGGTCCAGACTGTTGTTATGATGTCATATAGGGCAGTCTGTGCACAAACGCCACCCTCCCTCAGCATTTCGCTTGGAAGATCATCTCTGCCCGCTGCCTTTCCTGGTCTCAGACTCCGAATCGCCTTCAATACTTCCTCAGCAGATGGCACCTCAGCCAGCCACTCACAGGGGGTGACTTCATCCAATATTTGAGGCACCGCAGCCTCAGCAGGGTCATCCTCACTTTGTGCCACGATGTTTTCCTGGCTGAGGGATTTTCCCTCCCCCAGGACCTCACAGAAATGCTCAGCAAATCTGCGAACCTGTTCCTGGGGGTCGGAAATTGGATCGCCGTTTTTTCCCCTAATGATGGTAATAGGTGTGGCGCTGCAGGTTACTTTTTTGATGGAGTTAAATAGAGATTTGTGATCACGGGCCACTGAGGCAGACTCCATCTCCTCAGCAACCCGCGACCACCACCCATCCTTGCAGCGCCTCACGGCTCTCCGAACCTCCGAGCGAAGGCTGCGGTAAGCCTCCTCATTCTCTGACGTGGGACTCTGTAGCCGATGACAGTGGGCCTGTCGCTTTTTCTCAACCATCGTGAACAACTCCTCTGTCATCCAGGGTGTCTGGGGAGGTCTGGACCGCGTACCCAAAGCAGCCATTGCAGCTGCATGAGTCACAGTCCTAAACCTCGCCCATTTACCCTCGACATCAGGAGGAGTCGGGGACGATGCCAATCCCAGCCGCAAGCGATGATGAAATTCTCGCTTGCAACTTTCATCAGATAACTGAGACCAGGCCACTTTAGGTTGGAATGGGGTCCTGGGTGTACACCCACCACCGGAGTGGAAGAATGGCAGGCGCATCTTACAGATGACTAGTCGATGGTCAGAGGGCAGATCAGCTCCACGGTAGGTCCTGGTGTCAAGGACATGGGCTCGCATTCGCTGGTCCGTCACTATGTAGTCCAGCAGATGTTCTTGCTTGGACCCGGCATGCATCCATGATGTTGTGTGGATGCGCCGATGCCGGAACAGCGTGTTGGTAATTACAAGCCCATGGGCTGCACAAAAATCTAGCAGCCTCCTACCGTTGTTATTGAGCTGATCTGGCCCATGCCCTCCAATCACTCCAGGCCAGGTGCCAGTATCATGACCAACTCGGGCATTGAAGTCACCCAACATGATGACTCTATCCCGAGGGGCCACTTTAGCCAGCACCTGTGACAGGAGGTCATAGAAGGCATCTGACTCATCGGCTTTGCCTGCATCCCTCCACGGATGTTCATCTTCGGTGGGGGCATAAGTAACCACGACCACCATTCCTCGCCTCCTGTTGAT